GATGCATATGTATATTAGGCCCCATAGGCTGCTAAGTATGACTTAGGGCTGGGGGTCTCCGGCCCTTTGCAAGCATTCCGAGTAACACCTTCGGAATGTCTTGGTGCAGTGGAGCTTATGAGGGAAGCCGCGGGCCCCTAAAACGAAGGGACCTGACCCTAACAAGGGATCAAGGCGCTTCCTTGGTCCATGAGTTAGGGTTTAGGGTTTAGGGTTTAGGGTTTAGGGTTTAGGGTTTAGGGTTTAGGGTTTCGGGTTTAGGGTTTAGGGTTTAGGGTTTGGGGTTTAGGGTTTCGGGTTTCGGGCTTAGGGATTAGGGTTTAGGGGCTAGGGAAAAAGAGCATGGGAACATGGGTACCAAAGTAAGGGCTCTCCGGTTCTTGTGACGGACAAAGGCTTTTCGACCTTCTTGCCGCTGGGACCTCTGTCTGCTACCTGGGTCCCTAAGTACCTCCTATTTAGGGTTTAGGGTTTAGGGTTTGGGGTTTGGGGTTTAGGGTTTAGGGTTTAGGGTTTAGGGTTTAGGGTTGCGGGCCGCAAATATCGGGCTATGGACCAACTCGTAGGGTTTTGGCAGCAATTTGTAAGGGTTTGGGGTCACAAGTTGGGCTTAGGGTGCCTTCATTGTGTGAAACCTGCCGAGGGCAACTTCCGCGGCCCTTGTTGCAGGAAAAGTGGGGTTTAGGGTTTAGGGTTTAGGGTTTAGGGGTTTAGTGAGTGTAGGGCTTATAGGGGTTTAGTGAGTTTAGGGTTTAAGGGTTTAGGGCTTTCTCTCTTTCAAGCCAAGGTCAGCATCGAAGGGCAAGAAACCCAAAGGCTTGGGCGAAAAAAGCTCCCAAAGCCTCGCACCTGAACTCTAAACCAGGACGCAAGAGTAGCCTAGGAAGAAGGAGGGTGCCCTTTTGTTGGTTTAAAGATGCTTTCCAGGGAGCCGAAACACTAAACAGACGGGAATACAGGGGTTTGGGGGGTTCAGGGTTTGGGGCCTAGAATCTGCAACAAAAAGGCCTCAATGGATGAAGAGGACCCGATTTGCGATTTCAAGGCGTGTGTAAGGAAATCCTGACCTGAAAGCCCTAAACCCGAAACCCTAAACCCGAAACCCTAAACCCTAAACCCTAGCCCCCGAAACTAACAGGGGTTACTACTGGGCATGGAGAAGAACGCACTAGAAGCCGAAGCCCTAAACCCCAGAATCCCAAACCCTGAGTCCTACAGCCTGTGGCCCGGAGAGACCCTGGGGCACTAACCAATCCTAAACACTAAACCCTAAACCCTAAACCCCAAGCCCCAAGCCCCAAACCCGAAACCCTAACCCCTAAGCCCTAAGCCCTGTACAGGTTTAGGGCCCTTCTCAGTTCTAGGGTTTAGGCTGTTCAGGGTTTGGGGTTTAGGGCTAGGGTTTAGGGATACTTCACGCGCGACTACTCCGGGCCAGGAAGGAACTCCCTCAGGTATGGCACGTCTCGTCGCAGCCTTGGCGCTGGCCGGAAGTTCCAGGTTTCTCCAAAAACCTAAACCCTAAACCCTAAACCCTAAACCCTAAACCCTAAACCCTAAACCCTAAACCTAGGGGCGCTAAGCCAAGGTGCCTAGTGAAATTTGCCCTGAGACCGATAAGCGTAAATCCCTTGCAGCTCGGGTTTAGGGTTTGGGTTTAAGGGCAACGCCCGCGACTTAAATATCTCCTAAACACAAACCCTAAACCAAAACTCCTAAACCCCAAGCTCCAAACCCTAAACTCCCAACCCCGAAACCCGATTCTAAACCCGAAACCCTCTACGCTGCAACCCCAACCTAAACCCTAAACCCTAAACCCTAAAACCCTAAACCCTAAACCCAAAAGCCTAAACCAAAACTCCTAAACCCCATGCCCCAAACCCTAAACTCCCAACCCCCAAACCCGATTCTAAACCCGAAGCCCTCTACGCTGCAACTCCACGAAGCCTAAACCCTAAACCCTAAACCCTAAACCCTAAACCCTAAACCCTAAACCCTAAACCCTAAACCCTAAACCCTAAACCCTAAACTCGGCCGAAAGGCTTGTGGAGCGCCTGCTTCAGCAAGGCATACTCGAAGGGCGCCTTTGCCTTAAGGTAGGACCTGACCTGGGTTTCGGATTTAGGGTTTAGGGTTTAGGGTTTAGGGTTTAGGGTTTAGGATTTAGGGTTTAGGGTTTCGGGTTTCGGATTTAGGGTTTAGGATTTAGGACTTAGGGTTCAGGATTTGGGAGCCTCTGCATGATTTCGGGTCGACCTCTTTGGCTAGGAGGGGACTCTCCAAAACACGAAGCCAGGAACATGCAGCTCGGGTTTCGGGTTCAGGCTTTCGAGTGTTGAGGACTTGCAAGCTGCCTCGGCAGTTCTTAGTTGCTGAGTTCATAAGCCCCCCCAAAAGTGTACACTTTCAGTTCTACATGGGACTATAGTATTCCAAGAAGTGTAAAGCGTGCCCACTCAGCTTCTAAGAGTTTATCCCACAACCCTTGCTGTTTGGGATAGTTTAGGGTTTAGGGTCCAAGGCTTTGGGCTTTTGGAGCCCTCGCTGGAAGTAGTCCCAAGAATCTCTGAATTTTCGGGCTACGGGTCAGTTTTGTAGGCCCCAGGCCACAGCGATGTTTTAGGGTTTAGGGTTTATGTTGGGGTTTCGGGTTTCGGGCTTCGGGCTGAGGGCTTAGGGCTTGGGCCTAGGGCTTGGATGGTTTAGGGTTTCGGGCCCAGGGTTCGGGGCACAGCGTTCCCATGCAGGGGCGCCCAACTCCCAGAAGGCGGCTGTTCTGCACCATCAGCGGCAGGAGGTTGTCCTGTCAGACTCGGGTTTAGGGTTTAGGGGTCAGGGTTTAGGGTTGAGGGTTTAGGGTTGAGGGTTTAGGGTTGAGGGTTTTCAGTTTAGGGTTGTGTGTCTGTGTCTCTGCATCTGTCTGTGTGTCTCTGCCTCTGTGTGCTTTGCCTTCGCCTGCAGGAGATATACAGGAGCTCAGCTTGCTTCACCCAATTTCGGTGGGGGCAGCCACAGGCCCTGAGCGCTGGCCCCACGAAGAGGGTCAGAGCATTTTGCTGACATTCTCACGAGACACTTGCAGGGGCAGTGCCATATACATATATACATATTCATATATCTGTGTGCGTGTGTGCCTTGCTTTGAGGGGGTTTACTGTCTGGAGTCTGGGGTTTAGGACGAGACTCCGGGGTTTTGGACCCCTGTTCATGACGGGATGCTCATGTTGTGACTGGTGCAGCAGGGAACAAAAGGGCGCCTTTTGGGCGCATTTCAATGGGACTCTAGCACTATGGGGTGTCCTAACAGCAGCCTAGGCCAACAGAACCACTCCAAAGACTCGTAATGCCATGGTATGGATCTGCATTGGGGGGGGGGACCCAAAACAGATTGATTGGAGGCCGCACGATGTCTAGGCTTCTTGGGTTTCCGCATGTGTCTCCAGGATTGCTTCAGGAAGCTAACACAAAATCAAACGCTCCTCAACGGCATTACAACTAAGCTACAAAGTTCGTTGTTTTTCTGTCAGGCCTCCTTGAGCTTTGCCTAGTTGCTGAATACCCTGGACCAAACAAGGCCCAAACCTTTCAGTCGTGGTCGGAAGTATACCCCAAAAGGTTAAAGGCTACCTGTTCAGCTACTAAGTTGTCCTAGGTCTGGAGGAGCCTTACTGTTGGATAGTAGGGAATCAGGGAGGGATCCTATGTAATCCCTTAAAGGGTATGTAGGGGATATGTGATAAGGTACCCCCCCCCAGTGCCATTCCCTACTAACCAACAGGAAGGAACAGGTTCGAGACCCTAAACCCTAAACCCTAAATCTTAAACCCGTAAACCCGAAACCCTAAAACCCTAAACCCAACAGCAAGGAACAGGTTCGAGATGTCCGTGAGTCCTGCAGCAGCCGCGACACGTGCCTCAACTCAGCGATGGCCCAGACCTGGACGTGGGGCTGCAAAACTGGAAGATCTTCAGCACGAAGGTTTAGGGTTTAGGTTTTAGGGTTTAGGGTTAGGGCTTAGGGCTTAGGTTTTAGGGTTTGGGGTTTAGGGTTTAGGGTTTTTGGGTTTTGGGTTAAACCCTCCCTAGTTGCACCCCAAACCCTCCTGAGGGCGTCGCCCAGTGTCACGGCAGGAAGTGGAGGCTTCGGTTTGCTGTTATGGAATAGCCACAGGCGTGGACGGTCCGGATGTGGAGGGCCCAGGAGCGCTTTCACCCTGAGGCTCAAGAACGCCGAAGTTTCACCTCCCAATGGAGAGCGATATCGTGGTTTGCCTATTTGGGGGGGGGGGGGGGGTTTAGGGTTTAGGGTTTAGGTTTCGGGTTAGGGTTTAGGGTTTAGGTTTCAGGGTTCAGGCAGGGTTTCAGGGTTTCAGGTTTCAGGGCTTCAGGTTTAGGGTTTAGGGGCTCGAGCCTATTTGGGGGGGGGGGGGGGGGGGGAGGTGCACGACGACCCTCCAGCATATGCTCGGGGTACTGCGTTGCCCACTGGGAACCCTCACGCCTTTGCCCTCATGCAAGGGTGATGGCTCTTGATCGAGCATTGAACATCGATGTTTAAGAGTGTTCATCTTGAGAGTAAGGGTTCAGGGTGCAGGCGTAAGAGCTCAGGCTTTAAGGGCTTTTAGTTTACGAATGAACAAAGTGAACGAAATAAATGTAATGAATACACGAACGTAACCATCACCAGTAAACATTAGAAGTAAGACCGGACAACGATACTAGGAAAGTTGTATGCTCTAGTGCATTTAGTGGCTTCGTTCACAACATTATGAAATTCACGCACTCACTACATTCGTTTGCAATTATAATACTGCTGTTCTCTTCACACTTCGTTCATACCATTTTTATTGCGGTTATAAATGTTTAAATGTTGAGGGGGGGTTCTTAAGCCAATAGAAGCTGTGGCTGCTGGGCACCATCTCCTGCTTCGCAGCATGTTTTCACCGGAGCGCGTCAGTTCCCTACTTTTCGGCTTAGCGCAGTTCACCAGCTTCCACTCCTTCACTGGAATCTCGGAAGTGGATGGGTGGAGACACGCCCACCCAAGCCAAGTATGTCATTGGTGCTGGTGTCTGGCACATTCAACTGTTGCATCAGCTCTTCCGCGCAGGCGACTGGCACGCCCGTGGAATTCAGCAACGACAAACTTGATGTGGACACAAGGCCTCCTGTCACCATGCCAGCTGCACTCGGCCCAAGCAGTGTGCACATTTCCGACTTCTCTTGGAACTCGCTGAGCAAGTTGCCTTCCAAAATGCTGGCAAATTGCTTCTTGATCTGACCTTCCGCAGAAACACGGCCTCCCATTAGGGTCAGGCTCATGTTCATGACCTGGTCTGGGCTCAGCACTTTAACGGCTGCCGTCATCGCTCGGATGGCCTCAGCCACGTCTGTGCTCGAGTCAGCATGCGCCAACGCGACGGCCCAACCGCCGTTGCTAGCGGTCCGGATGGCAATGCCAATGCAGGGCCCCATGCCCACTGTGTAGAGCACACCTGCTTTGTCATCTGGCAGCCAAAGCACGGTGAAGCTGCCTTGCTCCACAGCACGAATGACCGACCAACCCAGCAAACTGCTTGTCAACTTCCTGAGCTTCCGGCCGTAACGCAGGGTCTTCCGGAAATCCCCACGAGGAGGCGGCGTCTGAGCTTTGTACGTTTCCACCACATCGCTTAAATGCGCACCCCCCAGCTGCTTCCAACGCGCCTTGAGCGGCCCCCAGTCGGGTATCTCTACATCCCGGCGGATTGCAATGGCCACAGCAGCCAAAGCCAGGCCAGCAAATCGCAACATGGACTGAGCTTATCAAATCACAGGCAATTCAATCTCGAACCAAGTTGCCATGATCATGTGGGGCTTGATGAAAGCTATGGGCCCTGCTGGGTTCCATATTATATAGTATGCTCGTTATCGTTTCGGGTACAAAAAAAGGCTCATAACTTAGATCAACCCTCATGTCACGCTTTTGTCTGCCCACGTACTCGGTGACCCCTTTGATGTGTCAGGGTTTTCATATTGGTAACAGAGCAATTCAACTACTTACACCCTTCATTGTGTACATGCAACCATGCTTCTGAATGTAGGAAGCACCATAACCGGTAACCCTAAACCCCAAACCCTAACCCATAAAGCTGCAGGGTAGATAAGAGTCCCAAGGAATGTGCAAGTGAAGAGCTCGCGGGCCAGGGGAAAGGCTCCAAACCCTACCTCGAAGCTACTACGGCGATATTGGGGGCTGCAGAGGTCATTAAGGGTTGATCTGGCTTGGGAGTTCGGGTTTAGGGTTTGGGGCTTAGGGTTTGCATCCTGCGCCCTACACCCTAAACCCTAAACCCTAAACCCAGAAGGTGGCTGCTGAGGCCCAAGGCACACCGGGCGATCTGCTTGTTGTTCATGTCCGGAACCTCAGCGCGACATGCGCATTCCTTGTGCCTTCTCAGCTTGGGTGCTTATAGGGCTTAAGGGCTTAAGGGCTTCAGGGCTTAAGGGCTTAGGGTTTAGGGTTTAGGGCTGAGGGTTTAGGGTTTAGGGTTTAGGGTTTAGGGTCCTCAACTCCCCACGCAGCCCTTGAACCCTAAACCCTGAAGGGTTCGGGGTTCAGAGCATCTGCCCAAGGCCGAGAAGGGTCGCAACTAAGACCCTCCCAACACTCCCGAGATAACTACGGCTCAAGCCTACACTTCAAGGGACGAAAGGAGGGACCCTTATAAGGGACCTGGGCTTTTTTGGGGGTTATTTGGGGACTACTTCGGTATATCGGGACGCTACAAGGTATGTTTAGGGGTTATACAAGGGAATAAGATGGAGGTCCTCCTTGTGCCCCTTAAACACTGCCAAAGCCTCGACTCCCAAACCAGAAGTGTTTTTTTTGGGTTTAGGGCCTGGGCTTCAAAGCTCCAATCCCTGAGCGCCCGGCTGCCCGCGCCGCTTCATCTGCCACGGGGACGACGAGGCGGTTGAGTACCGCAACGTCCTAGGGTTCAGGGTCTGTAGATCTTAGGGTTGCATGGGCAGCGATTATGTAGGTTTAGACACGGCATTTAGGGTGCCAGGGTGTGCGTATGAAAGCTCGATAGACCCCTAAACCCCTAAAACCTTATACCCAAAGACCTCAAGCCCGAAATGCCCCAACGCCCCAAAGCCCTAAACCGTAAACACTTAAATCGAAACCCTGAACCCTAAACCCCCAAACCCCCAAACCCCTAAACCCCTAGACCCCTAAACCCCTAGACCCCAAACCCTAGAACCGTCCTGGTAGACAGCCAGCGCGTGCATGAGAAGCGTGCTCCATCGCGGGCCGAGGCCTGCAAGTAAGCGAGGAGCCCCCTGGATGTTCTTAAGGGGTTTAGGGTTTAGGGCTAGGGTTTAGGTTTTAGGGTTTAGGGGGGTTTGGGGGGGTTAGGGTTTGGGAGTTAGGGTTTCGGGGTTTTAAGGCTTAGGGGTTTATGGTGTAGGGGGGCTGGGATTTTAGGGTTTAGGGTTTTTAGGGTTTTTAGGGTTTTTAGGGTTTTAGGGCTTATAGGGTTTATAGGGTTTATAGGGTTTATAGGGTTTATAGGGTTTATAGGGTTTAGGGCTTATAGGGTCCACGACTGCCAAGGGTTCGGCCAGGACCCCCAACAGAAAACATGATGGTTCTGCCTGCACCCCCCCCTTCCGTAGCCTGAGCCTTGACCTGGTGTGTTCCTACGACCGGGTCTATGGAGGTTTCTGACATGAGGGGTACCTTCTTGGGGTCCTTATAAGAAGGGAACACTACTATTTGGGGGGGTGTATATTAGGGGTCCCTTGTTTTCGGAAACCCGCATATAGCCTTAGCAGCCCCCCCAAGTGACAGTACTGTAGTCAGGGTGCCCGTTTTGAAGGGTTGGCTACCTTTGCAAGAGAACCCAGAGCCCAAAAAAGCCAAAAGGGTATATGGAGGCTAGGCCCTTCTTTCGGGGTTCAGGGTTTGGGATGCTCCCCCCCTTGACTAAGCTTGAGACTATAGTCCCCTAATTGGGGTTAGAGTACCCTGAATAGGGATTAGAGTACCCCCGATTATACTCCCTACTAAGGACTGCTAGTAGAAGGGGGAACATCCCAAGTTCAGGGTCTAGCGCAAAGAGGCTTTCCTGTAAACCTTTATAAGCGCTGTAGATTAAGTTCGACACCCTCGCACTAAGCTTAAACTCCCGAAACCCTGAACCCTAAACAACCAACCCTAAACCTCTAAGCCGCTGAACCCTCCTGAGAGTGTCTGGGCTCGCTCACCGTCATCCGCTCCCTCGGCCATCGCCTGCCTGGCATATGGCTTATAGGGCATGGATGGACTTGGTGCTTCGGGTCGATGAGGATTTGGGACCTGGCAGGTAAGCGCTTAATTATGGTCTGCAAGCAACCCTTGCCACAAGACAACCCTGCAAAACCTACACGCCTTAAGCCCTAAACCCTAAACCCTCAACCCTGAAGAACCCTGAATCGATTCAAGTCCTCAGTATCCAGGTCGGAGCCACAACGCAACCTCGGCGTTGCCGACCAGCGCTGCCAAGCCCGGCCTAGGTTGGGAAGGGGGAGGGTTTGGGTTTAGGGTTTAGGGTCTAGGCGGCCTAGGCTCTGGGGCAGGCTTTGAGGGTCTACGGTTGAATAAAAGCGGCGAGCTTAAACAGGCTGAAGGGTTCACAGGGCTTGGAGTGTAGCAATGAAGGGGCTTAGGGTTTAGGGCTTAGGGTTTGCAACCTAAGGTTTAGGGCTTAGGGCATTCAAGCCTAGGCGTGAGACCCTCATGCAGCTTCTACCCTTCAAGCCCAAAGAGCTGAGGAGCTGGGGAGTTTTTGCCTTGGGAATGCTGAAGCTCAACAGGTGCAATCGCCCCCTAGGGTCTAGAGCTTAGGCGGGTTTGGGGCTTACACACAAAAACACACAAACAAAAAAAAAAAGAAAGAAACCTAAAGCCTAAACCCTAAACCCTGAGACTGCTGCTGATCACCGAGCTGGGCCAGATCTTCCTTGCTCAAGCTCGGCCTGTTGCACCAACAAGGGAGGGGGGCATTTAGGTAGCTGTTGTAAAAAGGCGTCCTAAAAAAAGGCTGACTCGAATGTAGACCACAGCGCGCATGATTTGTGTGAGTGCGTGAGTGTGTGAGTGTAGAGTGAGTGCAGTGTGAGTGTGAGAGTGAGTAAGCCCCTCTCTCTCTCTCTCGCTCTGTGTTTGCGTGTTTGTGTGTGTGTAGAGCGAGTGCAGTGTGAGTGTGTGTCTGTTTCTGCGTTTGTGCGTTTGTGCGTTTGTGTGTTTGTGTGCTTGTGTACGTGTGTGTCTGTGTGTGCGTTGTGTGTCGTGCGTCGTGCGTCGTGCGTCGTGCGTCGTGCGTCGTGCGTCGTGCGTCGTGCGTCGTGCGTCGTGCGTCGTGCGTCGTGCGTCGTGCGTCGTGCGTCGTGCGTCGTGCGTCGTGTGTCGTGCTGTCTCCCCCTCTCTCTCTCTCTCTGTGCGCGCGTGGGCGGGTGTCCTGCTGGATCTCGGGCTTTGGGGGCTTTTGGGCACTCCATAGTTGTCCTGAGACCTCACACTTGTCCTAAAGCCCCCCTAAACCACCCCAAGCCCTAAAGGGTTTAGGGTTTAGAGTTTAGATTTTAAGGTTCAGGGTTAGGGTTTCTCAGCCCACCTGAAAGCGCTCTAAGCCCCAACCCAAGGTTCAGGGTTTAGGGTTGAGGGTTAACGGTTTAGGGTTTTAGGGTTTAGGGTGGATAATGGTACCCCTCACTCGAATCCCGATTAAGGACTGTTACTATGTAGGGGCACCCCTCAGTCCCTCAACCCCCTCCAGTGTCAAGGAGCCCAGGATCCCTGGCCTCTGCGCCACCAGGAGGTCCAGTGCCCGAACCGCGTGCTTCATCTCAAAGGCTGGCGAGTGCACCTGAGCCCGTGACTGCGGGGAAGTGCTCTGAAGTCCTTGCTCTTTTGTTTTTGGCACCTTTATTTTGTATAAATCGATATCCCTAAACCCTGAATTAACTAACCCTGAATTAACGGCGATAAACCCCAAATCCCTCACGGGACCTTGTACTAAGTTGGCCCCTTAAACCCTCTGACCCTAAATATCCCAAGTCCTACCTAGGAGGGTTTGGAGGTCCGTGCTGGTAGGGCTGGCTAGTCTAGAGACGATGTGGGCATCTCGCAAAACAGCGTATCCACCCCTGATATGCCCCCAAAACTCACGACACTGTAATGTACTCCAAAAAGGCTACCCAAAATCTGCCAGTTCTACACAGAAATGATGCCGCATAATGCTTGAGCAAAAGATGCTATGGCCCCAAGCCCCGAGATCGAAGCCCCGCACGATTTAGGGCTTACAGGGTTACAGGGTTACAGGGTTATAGGGTTATAGGGTTGTAGGGTTATAGGGCAGAAGGACATCGGAGGCTGGCACCGCGCTCTCGAGAAACTCCAGCAGCCTCAGCGCCTGCACGCCGCCCCAAGCTACGATAAGGAAGAGGCTTCTACTCCCCGCAGCCCCGCATGCAAAGCCTCAAACCCTAAACCCTAAACTCTAAACCTTCAACACAAACCCACACCCCCACCTTCTAGAACGCAGCAAAGGCCACCAAGAGGTTCAGGTTTGAGGGCTTGAGACCTTTCATCCTCAACCCCCCTAACCCCTGGGAGCCCTAAACCCCAAACCCTAAACCCCCCAAAACCCTCACAAGTTCAAAAGGTTCGGGGTCTAAGGTCACGGGGTTGGGGTTTTCTTGCATCCGAGTTCAAGGTTGCGGGTTCTGAGCGCAAGGTTGCCACAGAGACTCCCAACGCGAACCTG